GACACTCTTTATGGAAGGCCCTGGAATGGCAGGAGACCTGGGTTTGGTTCCCAGTTCTACCACTAACCTGCAGCGTGACCTTGGACTACAAGCCACTTCATCTCGCTGGGCCTCCTGTCAACTCTTTGTGGCAGGGAATGTTTCTGACTGTGTGTATATACAGGGCCTAGCACACAGGGGCCCTGGTCTCGGGTGCAGCTTCTGGGCACTGGTGTAATAGCAGCAATAATTGTCCTTTTGTATTCTCCATCAGCGGAGTTCATGAGGGTAGGCAGGGTGGAAACCCCACTTGGACCACAGTGAGTCTCACTGGCCCAGAGAGGGAAAGTTGGCTTCTCCCTACAGCAATGGTGGTGTGTCTGACCCTTCGTAACAGGCAGCGACTGCTCAGTCAGCAAGCTGGGAGCACTCAGACACGAGGTAGCTGAGAAGCAAGACGTCAGCTTGTGTGTAAAAGGGAAAGCAATACGACACAAAATGGACCAAACAGATTAACGTAGTGACACCAAAGCGGTGAACTTGTGCCTCCAGCTACGTGAGGTTAGCTCCTGCTCGCACCTCTGCACAGCCCCACTGAGGGAGGTCAGAGCATGCCCCTCAGAGTCCTAGTCACATCGCTGCTCACCTTCCAGCTGTGACAGAAAAGAATCTCCCCTGCTCCAAGCATTCATGGGGCCAGAGTCTGATCTCACTTGCGCCAGAGCTTCAGGGTAAGTGACTGGGAAATCAGGATCTTGTGGTGCATTTTGCAGGACTGGAATGACTGACTGTTCCTTTCATTATGTTTGCAGTGAAATACAATTCAGCCCTTTGGTGATTTACTCTTCTTCCTAATTAGATGGAGCCCTCAGAATACGATGTAGCACTGCAGCCGTGGTTTATTTCAGCATTAACAACTGAGCTCCGCTGCTTTGTGGCAGTGCGATTGACAGCCACAGGGGACTGCCAGACTCCATCGAAAACAAAAGCAAGTTGGAATCTGCATTCAGATTAGAGGGAGGCCTTTGGGGATGTTGTCAGTGCCCAAACTGGTTTGAAACTTTGTTCCTGAGCTTTTTGTCAGTGAATGTACTGCTGCTGATGCCAGGCTGCCGAGTGTCAGCCTGCAGATTGAAGGTGCTTCATCCCACTACGGCATGGGCAAGCCTCCAGCACACCTCAAACCTGACCTGCAGGGACCATGGCTAGGACTGTGGCTGGGATGGTTAGTCCCCCTGGCCATTCACTTTCTTTGCCGAGAGTGCCAGCAGAGATGCTAAATGGGATGTGGACCCTTAGCTGGTAATATTACGGTGAGACCCGCCACATATTTCACGTAGACCACTGAACATCCTTTGGATAGTGGTAACATCCATTGAGTACCAACCCTGAATGGATTCAGGCTAGAGACCTAGCAAAGAACAGTTTGGTAGCCCATTAGCAATCCCTTCCACCACCCAGTCCACCCTCTGCTTTGCTGTCTCCGTTTGTCTGCTGTCTTTCCCTCTCTGCAGATGTTGCAGTTCCTCTTGTCAAGCCTTGGTACCATGTGCCATGTAACTCAGGTGTGCATTGTAGTAGCCGTGTCAAGCGGGTGGCAAACGGTGACAGGAAGAATAGGATGGAGTCGTGGTACAAGCAGAAGAGTGTTCCCCTGACAGGACAGAGCCCTGCATGGCCAAGCTGGGGATACTTTAGAGTCTGATACTTTCTGTTACACACCAGCTTCCTGAAATGTGTTTAACAGAACATGGATGGATTTTAGCAGTGACAGAGGCAAAAATAACAATGCACTAGGGATTGGCTTTAAACTCCAGAAATGGTTTGTGGGTAAGGGCCAGGTCTAGGCACCAGAGCGTCTGGCTTCTATTCCTGGCTCAGTGTGACTTGGACCCATGCTTTAACCTTGCAGGGCCTAAGTTTTACCATCTGCTAAATGAGCATAAAACCACCTCCCTCTGGGGGGGTTGTGAGGATTACTTACTACAGTAGCACACTCAGATCCTTGGAGGGAAGGAGATATAGATAGGGTCAAGTATTATTTCCATACCCAGTAAGCTGGGAAGAAATTAAGGCTTTGAATTGCCCCTGCTAGGATTAGACCCGATGTCTGCAAGGCTGCTAGATGTTTGGAAGTTGCCGCTTCACTTACAGAGCGTCTCCTGCAGCTTGAGTACTGTGCTTTCAGGCTGATTTCCAGTGCATTGAAATCACATCATCCTTCCTCTTCATTGTGACTGAAGACACAAGCAAGCAGGGGGTTGAAATATACAGCCCCCCTTCTCTCTAAACCCTTCAGAGAGCCATAGTCCCTAGCGGGCTAAACAGAAAGGGGGAGGAAGAGGGATGAATGGTGCAGCATCCACAAGTCTGTTCCCACCTGCTTGGGCTAACTGTGCATTCATCAGTGCCCCCTTTTGACGGCAGCGATACTCAGGGACCATACAGCACGGGACACAGGGACTGATGAAGAACAGCACCCGGCTGTGAAGAGAGCTGAATGTAACAACTCAGAGCCTCCAAACCCCTCGCTAATCTCATTTCCTTTCTGTTGCGATTAAGGTGGCTCCCAATATAGCACTAAGACACGGCACAAGGGCATGTTTTATTGGCCCATTAATACCCGCCCTTGGGGGAATTGTGAGGTTCCCCTTCTTGCTGGTGCCTTCTACGCAATAAATGCTGCAGCAAAAGGGAAAAGGGGGGGGGGAGTGGCAGCAGGGAGGGGACCTCTGAAAGGAGGGACTCGCATCTGTTCTCCTTGCTGTGCTTCCTCTCCCGACCTCTGGCAGCACCTCCTGCTGGGGCCTTGTCGTTAGAGCGGGGCTCAAGCCGTGAAATTTGGATCCAGATGTCAAGCATCCCAAAGTCAAGAAGGCTTTGCAGCTAGCTTGGTTTCTCCTGTGTTTTCCCAGAGAGACGCCGCAGTGTGTGGTGAGGGCTGGGAACAGCTGTGTCTGAACACCCCCCAAAGCAGTGCATATGCGGCTCGTTGCTGTCACATGAGTGCTATGATTATGACTGGCTGTTTTGCGCTACCTGATACTATTATCACCATGCTTAAAGGGATACTCACCCAATTCCCCTCCCCCTCCCCCAAATTTGGGTTTTATATATTAAAAAATACCTTTTACAAAACCTGACTGACAGATACGCTTCCATGAATTAAAACAAAAATTGCACAGTAATCATCCCAGTGCCAAGGGAGAGGGCATACAGGAGGAGTCCCTCCTTTCAGGGAACTCAACCCTCAAAGAGAGAGAAAGAGGGAAAGCCTTGTCTAATGATCTGAGACCCAGGGACATCTCGAGATCTGGTGCTGGCTCTGTCACTGACTTTCTGTGTGGCCTTGGAGAAGTCACCTAACCTCTGTGCCTCAGTTTACCCCCATCAGGTATTAACAAACTGAGCATTCTGAGGAGAGCAGCAGAAATTACTAGGGAAAATGTTAAGCGCCAAAGATTGTTCTGAGAGCTTGATCACCCCACGCCAAAGGTGGGGACATAACACTCCACATATATTTGCAGGGTGTTCACAGGGCGAGCAAAGAATCATTACAGTGATGCATGAGGTGTAACTAAGAGTAATGGGGTGGAATTAAGAAAGCTGAATGTCAGGTCAGACCTCCTGACAGTGAGATGTATTAAGCTGAGGAACAGTCTCCTAAGCAAAGAGGTGGAAGAGCCGTCTCTTAGGACTTTTAAAACTAGGCCAGTTGGGGGACATTTCAAAGGTACAAATGGCTGATAGGTGCTGAACTCCCACTGACTCTATGGGAGTTAGGCAAATAATCACCACCTGTGCCTTAAAAATCTCCCCCATTGTTATTGGTGGTTATTTGTATTGAAGTAGCAACTGAGCAGCATCAGTGTGCTAACACTGGAAAATGAAGTGTAAGGAACAATCCTGCATGGGCAGGGCAATGGACTGGATGATCTAATGCGTGTCTTTCATGCCCAATTTCTGTGATTCAACAGTAAAATGGGGCAAACAGTACTTTCCTGTCTTCCAGGGGAGGAGCGAGTCAATGTTTGTAAAGCTTGATGAGTGCTAAATATTGCACTGCAATTTCAAAAATCACCATCATTATCCAGAATACAAGAAACTGTGAAACTAGTCTCTTCGTATTTTCTCTCTGTTTCCCAACGGGTGTGCGAATCCCTATTCTGTCGAAAGGTGATGATGCATAGATTTTAAGGCCAGAAGGGATCATTAGATCATCTAGTCTCACCTCCTGCATAACACAGCCATAGAATTTCACCCAGTTCTCCAGTATTGAATCCTTGATCCACAGGGGATATAAAAGCTTCCAAAAAGGCCCACCCAGATGTTCAGAAACTGGCTGTGGGCAATTTGGACTAAATTCCCTGACACCAGCGGCGTTGTTTTCCAGGTTGATCCTGCAGAGAGCTGCGCAGGCAAATGTATGTTTGAGTGACCTTGTTGTACATGTGCATGCAGCATAGGCACCAAGGGCCCCATCTTACAAGATGCTGAGCACTTCCTGGGATGTGTCAAACACCCTCAGCTCCCATTGATTCCAGTAGGAGCTGAAGGGTGCTCAGGACCTTTTATGATCAGCTCAGTGCTTTGCAGGATCAGGCCCTGATTCATAAAAACGTGGGCCTTCTAAAGGCACGTTGCAATCATTAATAAACCGAATTCAGACCCTTTCTTGGTGAGCCCGCGTGGAGGGACGGGGCTCTGAGTTATGCAGCGCAGAAGTAATTACAAGAGGAACAAACAGCAAGCTGCATCCGTGATGTAAGCTGTGCTGCATGTCTTGCTGTTCCCATTGTGCTATTACCCGCTGCGCTATAGGCTGGTTTCAAGTGGGCTAACTTCAAACAGAGACTAAGTAGCTTTGAAATGCACTTTTAAGAAAGCTGAGCCTAGGAAAGCCCCTCCAATAATGGATTTACCTGGCTTTGGTGTGGCAGCGGGTGAAGTGAGAAAGAAAACCAGGATCCACCCTGCTCCAGGAGTCAGGAGATAAAAGATTGAAGCTGATTCTCTTGCAGAAATCTCCTTCCGTGTGTGGATGTGCGGAGGGAGCCTGGAAATTATCCCCTGCAGCCGGGTTGGACATGTGTTCCGGAAGAAACACCCCTATGTCTTTCCAGAGGGAAATGCCAACACCTACATAAAGTAGGTATTGCGCTCTGGCTGCCTTCATGTACTGCTAAATGATTTGTTCCTATGTGAAAAGGAATTGGGTGTTGCTGGGAGAGCACAGCCCACATCGGTAACGGATGAAGGGGGAAAGATGGGACGTGTCAGCATTTCAGCAGTCTCCCAGCCCAAAGCAGACATAAACCCAGTGCATTTGGTAGCTGGTGTATTGTCAATAGAGCCATTCAAAAGTGGATTGGAAAACTGTTCTGGGGAATTGTGTATGTAGGCTATAGCAAGGCATCGAGGGCTGGGACCTGATGAGGCCTGTGTTGCCTTGTAGCCCTAACCTCTAGTATTCCAAGATGTGAATTTGATTGGAGTGTGGACTCTGGTAGCCCAATACTCCTGTCTCCCTTCAGGGCTCCCAAAAGAAACCCACTACAAAGATATTACAAAAAAAATTCACGTGTCTAGGTTTTTTTCCAGGGATTAATTCCTTCCATGCAGCCTCTTTGCCACTCCTTTCTGTACCAGTGTCAGTGAAAGACTGCTCAGGTTCCAGAATCATGCACAATTCACATGATGATTGTTGCTTGCTAATTGCCCGAAGTGAGTTTGGTGCTAAACAGGACATAAATCTAAAGTCAGTCCCTGCCCTGAGGAGTTTACAATCCGGTGGTTTTTACAGTGATAGTCTGGACCATTAAATCCTGAGGCCATTACTTGCAGAGGGAGTATTCCTGAAACACAGAGAAGTGAGAGAATAGACATAGAGCAGCAAGAAATATTTGCAAGTAAATTTGAAGCTTCATCAAACTCACCTGGTTCAGGGGTTTGTTATTGGCTCTAAACTCCGCTCAGGGTCATTACAAGATTTCTGAAAGTCTGCAAGCCTTCTGCACACCTCCGAGCTGACATGGAGAACACCTGAGCCATTTTCTGGTCTCACATTGAAGCTGGGGGCGTTAATGGTTTCTACTGAGCTTCACTTTGAGTTTATTCAAATGAGGCAAAGAGGGCAAATGCACATGGCCTGAAATGAAGGAAATATTTGACTAAAACCCCGAGAAGCAAAACAGCCGAATTGTATACAGCCTTTTAGAGACCCCCACCAAGCTGTGAGACCAAGCCCCAAGCAGGCCTGTCGGGAATGTTACCATGAGGAGAATTAGCTGTGCTTCCAAGCACAACAGCTGCAAAGCATCCAGTTATCTTATTACACCAGCCAAGATGAGGAACTTCTCCTCTAAGCTGTTGCCTAGATTGTGTACAGCAATTGCAGGAACAGGGAAGAAGTGGAACCTCCATGGTAACCAGGAATTAAGGCAAGTGTGGCCTGGGTGGAGCCAAAGTAGCACCCCAAATATGTTGGTGATGGGGTGGAGAGACCGGTATAGTCACAGAGTTAGTGGGCTCCCTTGATAGAATGTTGGAAGTCCCTTTATACGCTTCATAGATTTTCACCTCCACCATTTGTGTTGCCCCTCTAGAAATACCAAGCGCACAGCCGAAGTGTGGATGGATGAGTTCAAACAATACTACTATGCTGCCCGGCCTGCAGCACAAGGGAGACCTTATGGAGAGTAAGTGGTGGTTCTGGCGGCCAGTGGAAGTGCAAAGGTGCCCAGTGTGCCTGATGCAATGAAAAGTTCAAGGTGATGATACAGGGGCATTGTATGCAGCCGTGGAGACGTCACCATGTAGTTTCTGTGGTAACAGTTAATTAAGTGCTAATAATAGGCAGATGCTACATTTAAGGAGATACAGTCCCAGCTCCCAAGCATATATCCAGTTTGTTTAGAAGTAGGGCTGTCGATTAATCGCAGTTAACTCACGCGATTAACTAAAAAAAAATTAATTGCGATTTAAGCTCAGTTTTAATCACACTGTTAAACAGTAAAATAAAATTGTAATTTATTAAATATTCTTGGATGTTTTTCTACATTTTTAAATATATTGATTTCAATTACAACACAGAATACAAAGTATACAGTGCTCACTTTATATTATTTTTATTACAAATATTTGCACTGTAAAATGATAAAAGAAATAGTATTTTTCAAGGCACTTCCTAGAATTGAATTGAACATGTGTATTATCATAGAATATCAGGGTTGGAAGGGACCTCAGGAGGTCATCTAGTCCAACCCCCTGCTCAAAGCAGGACCAATCCCCATTTTTTTTGCCCCAGATCTTTAAATGGACCACTCAAGGACTTCATACAAGTACTGTAGTACAATCTCTTTATTGTGAAAGTGCAACTTACAAATGTAGATTTTTTTTTTTTGGTTACATAACTGCACTCAAAAACAAAACCATGTAAAACTTTAGAGTCTACAAGTCCACTCAGTCCTACTTCTTGTTCAGCCAATCGCTAAGAGAAACAAGTTTGGTTATATTTACAGCAGATACTGCTGCCCACTTCTTATTTACAATGTCACCTGAAAGTGGGAACAGGTGTTCTCATGGCACTTTTGTAGCTGGCATTGCAAGGTATTTATGTGTCAGATGTGCTAAACATTCGTGTGCCTCTTCATGGTTCAGCCACTATTCCAGAGGACATGCTTCCATGCTGATGATGCTTGTTCAAAAAGTAATGTGTTAATTACTTAGTGACTAATTTGCCTTGGGGGAAATTGTATGTCTCCTACTCTGTTTTACCTGCATTCTGCCATATATTTCATGTTATAGCAGTCTTGGATGATGACCCAGCACATGTTTGTTTTAAGAACACTTTCACTGCAGTTTTGACAAAATGCCAAAAAGGTATCAATGTAAGATTTCTAAAGATAGCTACAGCACTGGAACCAAGGTTTAAGAATCTGAAGTGCCTTCCCAAATCTGATTTGGACAAGGTGTGGAGCATGTTTTCAGAAGTCTTAAAAGAGAAACACTCTGATACAGAAACTACAGAACCCAAACCACCAAAAAAGAAAATCAACCTTCTGCTGGTGGCATCTGACTCAGATAATGAAAATGAACATGAATCAGTCCGCACTGCTTTGGATCATTATCAAGCAGAACCCGTCATCACCATGGACGCATGTACCCTGGAATGGTGGTTGAAGCATGAAGGGACATATGAATCTTTTGCGTATCTGGCACGTAAATATCTTGCGACGCAGGTTACAACAATGCCATGCAAACACCTGTTCTCACTTTCAAGTAACATTGTAAACAAGAAGCGGGCAATATTATCTCCTGCAAATGTAAACAAACTTGTTTGAACAATTGGCTGAACACGAAGTAGGACTGATTGGACTTGTAGGCTCTAAAGTTTTACATTGTTTTGTTTTTGAATGCAGGGTTTTTTGTACATAATTCTACATTTGTAAGTTCCACTTTCATGATAAAGAGATTTCACTACAGTACTTGTATTAGGTGAATTGAAAAATACTATTTCTTTTGTTTTTTACAGTGCAAATATTTGTAATCAAAAATAAATATAAAGTGAGCACCATACACTTTGTATTCTATGTTGTAATTGAAATCAATATATTTGAAAATGTAGAAAAACATCCAAAACTATTTAAATAAATGGTATTCTATTATTGTTTAACAGTGCACAATTCATTTTTTTAATCACTTTTTAATTGACAGCCTATTTAGAAGCTGTTAGGTTATGCCAAGGAGAGGACTGAATTCTTGCTGGGGAATCCACCCCTCCCCCCGAGCGCTCCCAGCCAGATTCCTGCTCTTGACTTCAAGTAGCTCTAGTCCTAGAGATGGGCTTTAACGTTGTAGTTTAGAAGTGAAACCAGCAGGGAAGAAAAATAATCGGCATGTTCTGGACCCCGTCTTGGCAGACATGGCTTTATGGAAGCTGAATTACTGCTTTATACTCCACCAGGACATTTATGATTCTGTCCCTTATAATCGTGGCTAGTCAGATATCCTTCTTATTAAAAAAAGGTCTGTATTCACAGCCAGCCTTGCATTCTAATCCCCTAGTTTCACATTCTCCTTGCTTTCACAGAGATTCTCCTTTCAAGCTCAGAATGAGCATGCAGGGTCTCAGTCCAAAGGTGAATTGCTGGAGCAGAGTCTCTCCTGCTTTTCAATTTTCAGAGAATCTAGATTATTAAAATACTGTGCAGCCTGACCTGTTTACAGTCAGCCACATCCTCTTCTCTGCTACTGGCATGGAGGGAAGGAAAAGCTCTGTCACACTAGGCAAACAGGACTGCAGAGACACAGGGTTCTGAGAAGGGGCAAGCAAACTGTGTGGGATGCTTCCTACTGCTTCATAGTTACTAACAGCCCACATGTGCTCGCTTGACACTTGCTCAGCTTGACGGTTAAAAGAGGGCATGGCCTACCCGGGTAGTGGATTGGCACCAGGAAACAGCTACTCTGTACAGTATGCTCCCCCATCTGGTAAATTTGGCCTTGATTCATCAAAGTACCAGTAAGAAGGGGGGAAAAAACGGTTGTTGCCTGTCCTCATTTGAATCCTGGGTCCAGTAGCTCTTCCCTTAGGCTGGGGGAGGAGCATTCAGATGCGGGCAGGCTTGTGCCTGCCTGCCTCCTGGACATCAAGAGGTGCTTAAGCATGTGCTTAAATCCCACTGACTTCAAAGGGATTTAAGCACATATTTAAGTGCTTTGCTGAATTAGGACATTAATTATTATTTTATTAGCATATAATATATATTCATTTCATGTAAAATTCCTCTATTAATTTAATATTTATTTAGTACATTAAATAGCATATATTAAATATTTTCTTCTTATATCAGCCTGTTCTTCCTTCAATCTCAAAGCACTGTACAAAGGTGGAGAAGTATCATTAGTCCCATATTACAGACAGGGAAACCAAGGTATAGAGAGGTGAAATGACTTGCCCAAGGTCATACGGCATATTAGTGCCAGAGTAGGGAATAGACACCAGATCTCTTGACTCCCAGGCCAGCATGTTATTGGCTTGGTACATATACAAACCTTTTCTTCCTCCCTTGTGACTTGGATCTGATCTTCGTGACTCTGATTTGCCTCCATATGTAACATCTGTGTGTTCACTGCAATTATTATAACTACATCATGTTTTTCCCCCATAGCATCCAGAGCAGACTGGAACTGAGGAAGAGCTTGAAATGCCAGACCTTCAAGTGGTACCTGGAAAATGTTTATCCAGAACTTAGGTATTGGACAATTCTTGGTTATATGCTTCTTCATAAAGATTTAGTGCCAGCTGATTGGGATGTGACCGATACATCACGGACCTCCGTTTCCACCGGTGCTTTCAGGTTCTGTGGGAGAGGGGAGAACTCAGAAATCATCACTGAGAACCTTTTTCAGGAAGTTGTTCTCTGCCGGAGGCAACAGCAGATGCCTGAGGGCTGCTGAGCCAGAGCCCATCTCGCTCTGTGTCTCAGGTTTTCTGCTAACGTGTGTTTTCTTCGCTACTTTCAACTGGCTCCCCCACAGGCACCAGAAGCCATTGCAGCAATTCCCTCAGTGGCTACCATCAGCCATCTTGGGAAATGGTGCAAAGGATTCTGGAGATGCATCCAGGGACCCGCTGGGAGTGATTGAATGTGGAGTCAGAGAGAGAAAAAGACTGAGAGTTAGGCCTGGTCTACACTAAAAAGTTAGGTTGACCCAGCTATGTTGCTCAGGGATGTGAAAACTCTACATCCCAGAGTGACGTAGATAAGCCGACTTAATCCCTGGTGTAGAATGCAGTAGGTTGATGGAAGAATTCTGTTGACTTAGCTACCGCCTTTCGGGGTGGTGGATTACCTACGCCAGTGAGAGAACCCCTCCCATCAGCGTAGGTAGCGTCTACACTGAAGCCCAAAAGCGGTGCAGCTGTAGCATATCACGTGTAGATGAGCTCTTACTGTATAGAGCTTTCTTCATACAAAGAGGGTTTGCACTGAGAGTGAAAGACTGGTGGGCAGCTGAATTTGAGGTTCCCTCACACTTGTGAGTCAAAGACAGACCTTTAACGGGCACCCAATTTATTTCTGTCTGCTGTATTTGCCAAATGCCATGCTCTTAGCCTATCTCCTGGAGTGATGCCACGTAGGAAGGCTCTCAGTCCATCATGAGATACCTGTTCTGCAGTGTAAATAGCCATCCTCTACAATACACATAGCGACTCATCACTGTGATGGGCCTTGCAGTTCTTTGTTTCAGAAACGAACCCATCCAACTAGGTGAACAGCCCCCCCTTTCTCTGAATGCCGGGCATGTCTACAGCAGCAGGTAACATCATCTTGGGTTATTTCCCCAGGATTCCTGAGGAATCATTGTATCAGTCTGGAATGATCCGGCAGAGACAGAGGTGTCTGGAGTCCCAGAAGTCTGAAGATCAGGAGTTCCCCATCCTGAGCTTAAGTCCCTGTATCAGCAGCAAAGGTGTGGCAGCAGTGGCACAGGTAACTGTTTTAGGCCTGCCCCTCTAATACAGATGAAAAGAAAGCTGAGCTACACATAGGAGTTCACCTGGGGGTCTTAAAGCTGATCTGTCAGGGGCCCTGAGCCTCCAGTTTATGGGGACAGCTTTGCCCGCATAGTTGGCCTCTGGAAGATTGCCCCCTGCAGGACAATCTCTGTGTGGCACTGAGCTTCTACCACTTCCCGTCCCAGTGGTTGGGAAAAGGGGGTGGGGGTGTGATGAGGAACCCCTGATCATCCCCCGTTGCCAATAAATCAATCAATCAAAATCACTTGGGGCCATTGGCAGCCCCTGTCAATTGCCGCAGCCACCAGGCGACTAGCCCTGCAACCAGACAGCCCCAGAGTCAAGTGAATGCAAAGATGGCCTAAGACCACCTTTGGCCTAACCCGCCTTTCCTGAGCTGCACTGAGCACTCCTCATCAGCAGCTCAGGTCACCCCGACCTCTCTGCTTTTCACTTGCAATTCAAATGCAGAGATCAGAGGAAGAAAATGAGAACTATAATTTCCCCTCATCTTTGTGACCTATTTACTGAATTGCGATGGTATTTATAACTTCATAGTCTGCATTCATTCAATATTAAATTGCCCATTAAACTAGCAAGAGCTTAATGAGCGTGACCTCATTTATTTTTCAAAATCTCACTGAGAGAAGAAATCTGCAACATCAGTCAGCATGTGTTCTCTGCTCCAGATTCTCAGACACATTAGAATAGGAAGGGTGGTCTTCTGCTGAGGTCTTTGGACTCAGAAGATCTGGGTTTAAATCCTGTCTTTGCCACAGGCTTCCTCTGTGACCTTGGGCAAGTCATTTAATCTCTTTGAGCCTTAGTTCCCCCTCTGTTAAACAGGTATAATACACTTTCCTACTCCACAGAAGTGCTATGAAAATAAGTTCTTTAAGGTCTGTGAGGTGCTCAGATACTCCAGTGATGGGAGCTGTAAAAATGGATAGTATGTAACTGTACACTTACTTTGTGCACACAAATGCAATAACTGTACATGTGTAACTCTCACTAGGGCTATGTCTACACTGTGAGCTAGGGGTGTGTCATGGGGAGTATATACCCCATGCTGGCCCTGCAGCCAAGGGGTTAAGGCAAGTACTGCTGGCCGAGGCTGATTGGCTGCCTCACAGCAGCTGTGAGAATAAGAGCTGGGAGGCAGAGGGGCAGGGCTGCTGTCAGAGGAGCAAGCAGTCTGGAGAAGGAAACTCCTGCCAGCAAGCTGCTAAGGAGCCTTACAGAGTCTCCTGAGAAAGGACAACTGGACCAAGAGGCTGAAAAACCTACGAAAACCAGGGAAGATAGGAAGGAGCTCATGGTGCAGCAGGAAGAGTTGTGTAGGCCCAATTCTGCATATTTGGCTTAAGGGTGCTGAGCTGCAACTCCGTGGAGTGGGCAGTCCTGGGTTCCCCTACTAACCCCTCAGAGACTTAAGAACTGAGGGAAATTCCACCCCTGGATACCAGGACCAGCTGACCCCACCAAGAATAAAGAGAAAACCACATATCCTGGCCAGACTGTGTGAACTCTGGTTCAACACTCTACGTGGCCAAAGGGGGCGCTGTTGCATCAATGCACCAGCCCGCCCGGTGGGATTCCCCTGCTTGTGTACCATACTCATGCTAGCTCTCCTCAGGCTCACACAAGCGTAGGTACAAGTGTAGCTGAAGTAGCACGGGTCGCAACAGGGGAGGCACAGCCAACCTGCCACGACCCATGCTGCCATGGCTACACTGCGATTTATGCCAGCTAGTGCGAGTGTGTGTACAAGAGCAGGGGAATCCCACCTCTAGCTTGTCGTGTAGACATAGCTAGGGTGACCAGATGTCCCGATGTTATCGGAACAGTCCTGATATTTGGGGCTTTGTCTTATATAGGAGTCTATTACCTCCCACCCCCGTCCTGATTTGTCACACTTACTGTCTGGTCACCCTAGACATAGCCTAAGTGTGTGGGGGTTACACATGCAAAGTGGGTAATTAGTCACATAAGTGACCAAAAGTGGCTATATTGCTGCAGAATTACCTAATTTGCATGTGCAAATGAGGCCTGCTGTGGTATATGCATTTAACCTACCTTTCTGCATCTCTAATACAAGCAAAAAGCCTGCTTTTCTGTACTGTTAAATAGACAATGGCAAGTCAGATTCCAGGTGTTACCACGGAATTTCTGTGACAGTTTTTATAGTATAACGGTCACATTATCCTGGTTTTAAAAATCTTTTTCTTTTGTCCGCTGCTGTGAAGCGGACAAACACCAGGGGAAAGGCTTAACTAGAGCTGGCTGAAACATGTTGCGTAACAAATTCTCTCAGAAAATGCGGTCTAGTCAAAACTGGAAGTTTCAGTGCATTTTGACGCCATTTTCAAATTTTTCCAATTGGGAAAATCAGAATGAAAAATGTTGCTTCGAGTCAACGTTTCAAAATGAAACGCCATTTGCAATGTCATGGTACTTTGAATGAAAAATGATAATTTCAACAAATCAAATTAACATTTTTGATCAAAAGGAAACAACATTTTCTAATTAGGAACTTTTCAGAATTTCTTGTTCCACTACAGTTTCTGACATTTCGACTTTCCGCTCTGATTCAAGGTGAAAAATCGTTTCAAAAAGTCAAATTTTCCTATGGGATGAAAAATCCATTTTTTGTCCAGCTCTAGGACTAACTCTGCAGAAGAACAGTGAAACTGACGATCCACAAAATAGTAACAACTGCAGGAAGCAAACAGACAAAAATAGAAAAAACTGATTTCCAGTCTCTGGCAGTCATAGTGATCTTAGGTGTTACTTGTAACTAAAGTAGGTAGAGACAAAAATACGATTAAGTTGGCAGTGTTCCTTTAAAGTTTAGATTACCACAAAAATGTTGGAAATTACTCTGTCCCTTAAGGCAATCTGTACACTATGGACCGTGACAGGGGCACAGCTCTACTGTTACAACTGTGCTGCTGTAAGTTTTCCCATGTAGCCACTCTTTGCCCGCAGGAGAGAGCTCTCCTGCCACCGTAATTAAACCACCCCCAATGAGCAGCGTTAGCTCTGTTGGCAAGAGAGCCTCTCTTGCCGACACAGTGCTGTCCACACCAGCACTTTTGTAGGTGAAACTTGTGTCGGTCAGAAGTGTGTTTTTTCACGCCCCTGACCGACAAACGTTTTACCGACAAAAGTGGTAGTGTGTGCAAAGCCTAAATGTGTGCATGGCCATGGGACGTCCATTAACAGATCACAAAATATAGAATAGGCAGTAATTCAAAATCCTGCTTATGTGCATTTATGACTGTGAAAACAGTGCAGCTCCTGTCAATTATATCCTATCATCGTTGAGTCCAATCTTGCTAATCAAAGCTTGATTATTTGGAAAATGGGTTTATCCAAAACAAGGCTGTGTTTCTTGATGTGCACCAAATACACTGAAAGGATCCTGTCTCTCCAAGACCTTTCCCCATGAGTACTGGTTACTTATTTGCACTTCCATGGCTCCTTCCATACAATGCTCTCAAAGCCCTTTGCAAACATTAATGAATTAAGAGCCAGAGCCTCGATTGGTATAAACTGATGAAGCTCCATTGACTTCAGTGGATCTAGGAGCTAGGCAGATTTACACCTTTGAGGATCTGGCCTTCATTCACACAACACCCTTCTGATGTAGTTTAGTATAATGCCTATTTTAGAGGTGGAGAAACTGAGGCCCCGCAGATTTGTCACTTGATAATTAAGCCCCTTTGAAAACGATAGCCATGTGTTGATTTGCCACAGTGAATCAGTGGCCGAGCCAGGGGAGTCCAGGCTGCCTCCCTCCTGGTCCCATCCCTCCCTCCCTGCATTGTGGCATTCTCCCCTCTGGTGAGGAAGGTGTGGCATTGCTCCCTGCTGAGTCCAAGGATGCTGTGTGGAGGGAGTTCTGTGGAGCAGGACTAGATGCTGATTTTCCAGGGCTGAGTGTGCTGTCTCTACAGTGCTCCCGGCCAGAAGCTTGGTATTTTTCCATCTTGTGTCTCATTTACTAAAGGAATTGTTTGATTTAGCTCTTCAGTAGCAAAATGCATTTGGGAGTAAATAATTGATCGTAATTTTGCCCTGGATCCTCTAAGGAAGATGTCACCAGTGATCTTGTGCATTTGTTTTCTGTTGTAACTGAGCATCAGTTGATAGTAGGCTGTGCAGGAACCTTTTTGGAATAGATTTCTGACTCTGGGATTCATTTAATAAATCCATTAATCATTAGCAGTTCCCGGCTGCCTGACATGCTTGAGAAGAAAAATCAGAAGCCCCTTAGGCCTCGATGCACTTGAGCACGGCAGCGGCAGTAGCAAGATGACTGTGCGTTAGGAGAGAGAAGCTGCCACTCTCTGACAGAACACTGTGATGCTGTGTCATTGAGTCCTGATGCGAGAGAACTACAGTATGGTGACCTGACGTGGCAGCTGTGTCCCAAAGTTCGCGGTTCACTGCTAGCCACCCGAGGGGAGGACTAGCACTACAAAAACTGTGGATCCACCAAAACTTTCAGGGTCTGAAAAACATCAGAACCATCCCCCATCACAGAGCCTCCCTCCTAAATCCTTGCTCTGCCTCTCAGACTCTCTTCCTCTCTCTGTCCCTCCTTAATGAGCTCCTTGATCTTCCTCCCCAAAGTCTCAATGAACTTGGCCTACTTGCCCAATCCAACCTCACCTGATCAGACTTTTTGATCTTCCCCTTTAACCCCTCCTGGATAGACTCTTGGTTTCTCAGAGACTCCCTCGTACTTAGGACCTTCTCGGACCACTGAATCCAGGTCCCCAGGATCCTACTGTGATCCTGCTAAATGCAGTGGCCCCAACTCTGAGCTGGATGCGGGCGGGGGGCAGCAAACATGACTTTAAGACCTCAGTGTTTGCCCCAAGGGAAGCTCTAACTTATTGCAATTTTGAATGAATAGCTGAGAGCAGAGCACTCTGCTCATAGCTCCTCCCTTTCCCAATATGCCCT